GCAGGGGAGAGAGGGCCTCATTATGGGATCTACAGTCCCTCTTTCTGCCAGTGATTAGACCTTGCAGTGTACATCTTCAGATCTAAGCATGAGCTTAAAGGAGCTTTTCTGGCTTCTAGAAACAGTCTCTGCCTTTGAAAAGCTGGAAGCATATGGGAAAAGGCCCGACTGACCATATCTCTTGCCGTGTGTCAGCCAAGTGCGCAGAAATCTAAACTAAACTGCAGTTCCAGGGGAAGCACAGTAGAAGTGAAGTGACCTGCAACATTGCAAAGAAGTGATAGGAACTAACTAAGCCCATGAAGGAATGGGCGTGAGAACCATCAGAAGCCTCTAGGCAGAAGAAACAGCATGTGCAGTGCATGGGATCATGCTGGCATGTGGTCAGGGACACAGAAGTAGGGTGTGGCTGGAGCAAAGGACAGAAAATGGACCTTGGGGAGAGCGGCATAGCCTACTATGAAAGACCCCCATTATACGCAAAGATACTGATTTAAAATAACCTAGGAAACTAGAAGCCAGCTGACGGAGGGACACTAACTGACGGCTGCATTGTCATGATGGATGTGCTTTTGTGTTGGTCACCCTGGCATGCAGAGGACTTGGGGCAAGACAGAATAAGCTTAACCTTTAGCACTTCCTGCTCACCAAGACCCACCTTTACCTCTCTCTGGTCTCCTCCCAATGACCAGGAGCTAGAACAAGCCACATGTCCTTGGCTCTCACAGCAGCGCTAACCATCTTGTGGCTTCCACGCTTGTACTTCACCGCCTGTTCTCTGCAGGGCAGCTGAGTGACCTTCTCATAATATGAACCTGTTCCTTCAATGGTTGGTTTCCATGGGTGGTTTTGGGAATAAAGCCCCGCCTCCTTCCTCTGGTTCATGAGATCTGGCTCTCTCTCACCGCCCCGTCTCTGCAGTCACACTCTGTCCCATCTGCATCCCTGTCCCATGATCCTTTCTAGTCCTTAAACATGACTAGGCCATTCCTAGTCATTAAAAGTCATAAAAGTCATTAGAGCTTTTATGCTAGCTCTTTCCCCCAGCTAGACCTTCCCAGGGCTACAAATTCCTTGCCTTTCCCATTGTAACTTAAATATCACTTTCTCAGACTTTCCCCAACAGCCACATCATCTGTAGGAGCTGCTCAAGCATCCTCTGTCACTTCAGGTCTCTCCATTGCTCTTCTGTCCGTCCATCCATGGTCTTCCTCCTCTGTAGTAGACAGTCTCCAAAATGGCTGCTATTTCATCCTTCTCTCTTGTACATACATGCCACTCCACTGGTCAAGACGGGAGGCATATCTCTCCTTCCACTGAAGGAACTTAGGATGCTATTGCTTGCTCTGGCTGACAGGATGAGGCAAGAAGATGCTGTGCCAGTTCTGGACCTCACTTTTTAAAGAAGGAAATATATATATATATATATATATATATATATATATATATATGTGGGGGGGGGGGGGGGGGGTGTGGGGTGTTGGGGTGGTGGTGTGCAGAGGACAACTTTTGGGAGTAAGTTCTTTCCTTCTACCTTGCTTTGAGGCAGGTTCTGTCTAGTTTCTACCCCACTGTGCACCTGTGCTAGCTGACCTGCATGCTTCCATGTGAGTCTCCTGTTTCCAGCCCCCATCTTAACATAGAAGTTCTGGGATTACAGATGAACAACACCATGATCAGCTTTTGTCCATTGGTTACAGGAGTTGAACTCAGGATTTCAGGCTTGCATAGCAAGTACTTCTACCCATTAAACCATCCCAGCATCCCTTGATCAAACTTTTAAAAAGTTGGTTAACTTACAAGTTTACTCTTGAAATCTAGCCACTATGTGACAAGTCTCGCTACCTTGCAACCATGCTGGGAGGAAGCACAAGGTCTCCACATGTGGGGGCAGAAAGCCATGTAGAGGGACACTTAAGGGGGTACGTGAACTATGGACCCCCTCCATACAGCTCACTTATCCACCTACTACAGATGAGCAAATGAATCCACATGATACCCAGAGCAGCCAAGCTGGCTGGTCATCCCTGACCTGATCCGGACAGACAACTGTCAGGCTAAAGTTTTATTGCTTTAAGTCACAGAGTTTTGGAAAATTGTTATGTGGCAACAACTGACTGAAACAGCCTTCTATTTCCAGAACATGACAATGCTTCAGAGGCTTGACCTGGCAGTCCCTGGCACGTACATGAACCCAGCAGGCATTTGCTGAGTTGTTGTTGTTGAGTTGCTGTTGTGCTTTAGTGTCTGTGGTACTGGGTATTGAACCCAGGGCCTCACATTCTCACTAAGCAAAGCCCCCAGACCTAGATGTGTGAATTCAGGAGAGAGTGGAATTGTTCATTGCCTACAGGTTTTGTAAAAACAAAACTGCTGTATGGATACTAGACATAGGATTTTGGAGTTCAACATTTCGGTTCTGTGTTTTGAGAACATGCAGGATGTAGGCATGGCTGAAATGGAGGAAACCAGGTGACTTGATTGAAGGATAGAATATTGGCTGAGACCCATATATCAACCCCACCTTTTCTAAGATGACTGTAGGACAGGTGCTGCACAAAGGCCTGGAACTTTCCATCCTAGGACTGTGAGGCATCCTGGTCCTATCCTTGGAAAGATCCAATTTCAAAGCAGGCAACAAGGACTCTGAAAAGTATACATGTGAGTAGGACAGAATGGGGACTCAGACCACAAGAGCAGAGCCTGGGCAACTCAACGAATGGTTATTCCGGCAAAGTAGTGGACACCACGATGGTGGGCCTAGAGAAGGGCAGAGCACAAGTTAGCTTCATTCTGGTCACAAGTAAAGGGTGGTTCTGATGAGGTCACTAGGGCAGTTAACTGGCCTTTCAAGATGCTGGCTGGCCTGAAGGTATAAAAATTTGATTTTCCGGCCAACATATCCAAAAGAGAGATAATACTTGCTGTTGGCAGTAGAGATAGTGATCTGAGATGTTCGCTGGGGTTCCAGGTGAGCTAGATGGTGGTGACAGGAGGCACGTACAACTGTGGGGTCAGCTCAGTCAGTGAGCTCTGGACTGGCATGAGAGTAAAACAGCAGGCAGAAGCCAACGTCTATTGCAAAGCTGTTCATGGTAGGGGATGGACCTCTGCAGAGTTAGTTTTATGGAGCTGGTCCAGAAGCATAAACTGGCCTGCCTCAAATCTTTTTAAACCATATGAAACAATACACTTGGCCCTTCCACTCTCCTTCACCCTTCCTTCCTTGCTTTTTTTCTTTTTTCAAGACAGGGTTTCAACACTGCCTCCCCTGGAACTCATTCTGCAGACCAGGCTGGCCTTGAACTCACAGAGATCCTCCTGTCTCTGTGTCCCAAGTGCTAGGAGTAAAGGCATGCGCCACCACCCCCTGGCTGGCCTTTCACTCTTGACTCTCTCTACATACAAACCAAAGAGTACGAATAAGAGATGAAGTCTTAACATACTGCTAAATTCTCACTTTTAATAACTCAGCACAGTCTCTCTGGGCTATTTTGTTTCTTGCCCCAGTTCTCCAGTCAGATGGAACTGAGCAAAAGAGAGTGAGAGAACCAAACAATGGACTTCTTCAAGGTTGGCGGCCTAGTATTCAAACTGAAAGGCATTCATTCATTAAGCCCATTTAGTCAGATCCCTCTTGATTTCAAGTGGCTGATTTCAATGGCAGCGGCCTAGTATTCAAACTGAAAGGCATTCATTCATTAAGCCACAGCCCATTTAGTCAGATCCCTCTTGATTTCAAGTGGCTGATTTCAATGGCAGACACTGGTAAGACCAAGCAGGAAATATATTAGTTTATATAGAGTAGGGGTGGAGGAAGGAGGGTGGGAAGGAAGGAAAAAGACAATCAGCAAAGACCATTGGGCCAGCTGGATTGCATGTTTAAATGATGCTGGCAGGATTCTGCTCTGACACCTCATCATCTCAGCTTACTTCATCAGTACCAGCTTTGCCTCGGGGATGCTTCCCCAGCTGATATACCAGTTTTGCCTCAGGGATGCTTCCCCAGCTGGTGCCGTTGGGACTCTAAGCTTGCTTCTGGCCAACTCTGCTGCTCTGGCAGTCAGCTCTGTTCTTGCAGCAAAATTCTGAACCTTGGTTCTCATTGGCCATGCTACAGCACCCTTCCATGAACCAATGATAACCAGGGGGATGCAATGTTCTTATTGGTCAGGACAGATCACATGACCGCCCCTGGAATGGTAAAGTGGTGTTGACCCCATTTAAATCATGTTTAGGGAAGTGGGTTTTCAGATTAAAATTGTGCAGTTACCAGAAGGAGGATCACAAGACTTGCAGGACTGGAGCAAACAATGTGTAGCCTCGACACAAGGTCAGGCTGTGTGACCTAGGGCCAACTTTGTGGATATAAGGCTCATACAGCCACTCACAGCCCAGCTGCTATGGATTAACACTCCATTGCTTTGAGATCCTTATTTATTTATTTTTGTACTGTACTTACATCACTTCTGCCCTCTTTTACCTCAGTCAGGTGGTGGCTGCTGCTGAAGACATGTTGAAAGGCTCTCTGTCTTTATGTCTCTATGGTTGACTTGAACTCTCCAGCCCTCTGTGTCAATGGTCCCCTAGTGGCATGGTGTCTGGTTCTAGGAACAGGGCAGGACCTAGACACCGACAATTTCTTGAGGCTGGAGTAGGGAACCTTGGGTCTCTTACCCAAGGTCCATTGGCCAAGCAGCTTAAGATACCAGAGTCAAGGGGAAAGGACAGGGGAGTCTTTCCTCACAGGCGTTTCAGGGCTGGGGACTGCTTCCACACCCTGGAATACTGTCTTTGAGGGTGGTGCATGTGTGCTTTCGTGTGTGTGTGTGTGTGTGTGTGTGTGTGTGTGTGTGTGTGTGTGTGTGTGAACTTTCTTACTTAATTCTCACCATGACTCTTGAGACTATTTTACAAATAAGGAACCAGGCTCAGAGGAAGATGAGACTCAGAGTAAGCAAGTAACTCTCTCAAAGACACACAGCACTCCTATTGCAAAGCCTATGTATTTCATTCTCTAATACCCTCTAATACCCTGTCCCCCACACACTTAACAGAAGAGAAATCTTCCAGGAGCTGGGATCTTGAGAACAAGCCATTCTCAGTTTAGCTTTGACACAAATCTGGAATGTGTCCATGCATAGAGCCCATATCACTTGGATTATACCTGGCACCCTGCAGACTAGGATTCTCTTTCTGTGGTTTCAGCTATTGAGGTTAGATACAATCAAAAATTGTTCATAGGACAATGCCAAGACTGTACTTTCCTTTATGGACTGTCACAGCAAGATCAATTGATTGCTTTATTTTACTATTAACTAATATATTACAGCACCCAATTTATAAATTAAATGTACCATAAGTATCTATTCATAGGGGTGTGTGTGTGTGTGTGTGTGTGTGTGTGTGTGTGTGTGTGTGTGTTGGCTTTGAGACATCATCTCATGTAATCCAGGCTGGCCTCAAATTCACATAGTAGCCAAGGTTGATCTTGAGTTTCTGATGCTCCTGTCTCTACCTTTGACCTCAGGGCTTATAGGCATTGAGTTGCTGTTCTCAGTTTTATGCAGTGTTGGGACTTAAAGCCAAGGCTTTTTGTGTGCTAGGCAAGCACTCTATGCAGTGGCTTATCCTCCAGCCCATAGCATTTTCATATAAGACAAAAGCACATTACATACAAAGAATTGGTCCTGTCCACTGGATACTCTGCAGATAAGGAAGAACTGCATATATTTTAAGTTTTTTATTACATTTATTTCTCTCTGTGTGTTGTGTGGAGGTCAGAGAACAAATCCGGAGAGTTAGTTTTCTCCTTTCGCTGTGTAGAACACAGGTCATCGGGCTTGGCAGCAAGCACTCTTATCCACTGAGTCATCCCGCCCGTCTCATGCTGTATGTTTGAATGGGAAGCTGGTAAGATACACCATCTCCATTAAGAAAGGAAACATCAAAGGCTGATATGGGCTAGTCTGTCCCGAAGAGCCTTCCTGGGTACTGAGGCTGGCTGCACCTGCAGACACCATTTCATAGGAGAGGAGAAGGTTTTCATGGAGTCTCTCTCAGAGGGCTCAGCGCTTAAACTAAGCCTGGTTTAGTGTCTCATTTGCTGCAGAGGGGGTCCCTCTGGCTAGTGTGGCTTTCCAGAAGTCTCTTGGAAAATGAGCCTTTTTTACTTGCAGGTTTTTGTTTTTGTTTTGTTTTTTAATTTGGGAGCGTGTGGTTTGCTGAAAACACAGTAAGTGTGATTAAAATAGTTCTGCCACACTCCACACAAACCTATGGATGGTTTGTACTGCTTTCTGGTCTCCTCGTAGAACAGGAAAGAAACTTCTTTGACAGAAAACCTCTGTGCCTTGTCTCCCCTGCCTCCCCCCGAAAAAGGATGATAAGAAGGGTAGGGAGTGAATAGGGAGGGGGAAAATGGAATTTCAATTTAATTTTGTCTCCACATTGTGTTTGGAAGGAAAACAAAACAAAAAACCAAAGCACCGTTGAAAGTGAACTTGGAGAGAACTATAGAGACTCCAGTGCTGCAGATCAGGGCTTCAGGCTCTCTGGCTCTCTGTTTGTCTTGTTAGCACACTGCTGATTTCGGCTTGGAGACCTAGAGTTAGGCTGTGTGGTGGAGACAAGGTCTTTGCCCTCACATGTCTTGGAGGGATGGAAGGACCTGTGGCAAGAGCTTGCCAAAATCACCCAAATTAGGACCCCCCACAAGAAGAGAGTCCTGAGATCTAGCAACTCTCAAAAAAAAAAAAAAAAAAAAATAACTCTGGAAACCACTGTGGCGAAGAAGCACTTCCTGCCTGGAAGCCAGAGCACTGTGAGCCATAAGCAAGAGGGACAGAAGGGTGGCTCCTAGCTGAGACCATAGAGCAGCAGGCATTTAGCTTATGATGGTGGAATTGAGCCCAGAGGGGCATTGCTTGCCCACAATAAAAACAGAGGCAGCAAGTCTGATCTGGAAGTTGGGGAACAAGCCAGGAATCAGCCATCCTGCCTTGAGCCCCAGCCCCAAGTTTTCCTCAGTGATGGACTGGCGTGCAAGTGTAAGCCAAGAAGCTCTTTCCTCCCCCAAGTTGTGATTGGTTGGTGTTTCATCACAGCAACAGAAGAGTGACTAAAGCACCTTCCATGTTTGTTCCTCTTCTTCAAGTACCTCTGCGTCATGAAGTTTTTTTTTTTTTTAACATTAGTAAACACATTATCAATGATATTAAATGTCTAACTTAATATTTCTTTACAGAGTTGTATTGTAATTTACTTACTGAATAAACCATTCAGTAGTAATAAAAATCTATTACTGGAGAATAGTATTGTCTATAAGGAGTGGGTGTTTTGTTACTATTATACAGCAGTAACTGTCACCATTTTCTGGATATATTCCAACTAATGGGTGAAACCTGTGACCTTTTTAAGGACTTTGTCCTGCATCCGCTGGGGTAAGCTAAATGTTAAAACAAACACTCCCTAAGTCTGTATGGCTTACCATGAGGATTTAACGGTTCTGAGAATTCTTTTCTCCACATCATCAATAATTAAGAGGTTGTTGCTTGTTTGTATGTCTTTTTTCTGTAGATTCCCGTGGAAAGTCATGGCTCAGACAGACTAATGTGCCTGTTTCTGACTTTGGAGAGGCTATCATTAGAGAACGGGACTCTCCATGCCTGACTCCTTTCAGAACATCTACCCCATTACTGCATCCCAAGGGGGCTTGAACTTCTGGATCTTTCTGTTTCCCCTCCCCCATCCCCCCATCCTTCCACACATCCACCCCCTGCCGCCCCATCCTTCCCTCAGAAAAAGGTGTTGTCTACAAAATGAGCTACCTTTTCCTGGATCCCTGCCCAAGCATCACCTCTGAATACAAGGTCACTGGTGCGTCCTAGCATAAAAGACAGTTTCATATGGTGCAGGGGGTGGGGGCAGACACCAGGGACTAGAACTAGAAGGCAACAATAGCATCCCAGTGTTGATTTGGCACACTGGCTTCAACCAAATCTCCCAATGTCTTGTCCATGGCAGTTACTGTTCCAGCATCGCAACCCTTCCCCAGCATATAGCAAAGCCAGCAAGAGCAAGGTGCTTAGAAACTAATGGAAGCCGACATAACTGTGCAAGATCTAGTCCTGCCTGTCTTCATGTGAACCCAGGTTGCTGAATGCTGCCTCATGTCTGAGTTGCAGTTTCCTCTTTGTTTGGAAACTTAGTTACTTGGAAACAAGGCTTTTGAATAACCTCTCGTCCACAACTTTACCGGACTCCCAGAGGTTGGTTGCCTGATGACTAGCTAGGGCCAGCCCCTTGCAAAGCAAGGTTTCCAGAGAGGTGGGTAAAAAGTCTTCAAAAGTGTGTTTGTCCAAGGGCCTCTGAGAACTAATGGCCTGGAGTGAGATCAGCAGAGAAATCACAAACCAGACAAGCAGATTTCCCAAGCTGCTGATAGCATCAGCATTCCTAAAGACAGTACGTGTGTTTTCTTAGGAAGGGACAGGTGTGTTGGCCTTTCCAGTCCCAGCCTCCCCTGCCTCCCCAAGAGGCAGCCTTGGACTCTGGACCTCCTGACTGAGTGACTCATACTGACTCTAGCACTTATAACCTAGAAACAGAAACAGGAAGTGGCTTAGAGAGGCAGAGTGCAACCCGGGGAAGGGCCCTGGTGGCGCTGGCCTCAGATGAGAGGGTAGAAGTGTGGTGTGGCGTCTCTCTTTCCTCCCGCTCTCATGATGCCTTTTTCGGGGTCTTGACCACCTCCGTGAAATCTGGGGTGTTTTCCTGAAGTGGGTGGATGATCATGCCATTAGGGGTCACTGATACCAGTGACTCTTTCCGATATGAGGGTCTATGGGATGGAAAACCCTTCTCTGCAGTGGCGTGGACTCTTGACCTGAATTTTATCAGGACTTATGAACAGAAGTCCTCAACTTGATGGGATGGTAAATGCCGGGTGCATGGGAGGTAGAGGCAGGAGCATAGAGAATTCCCAATCATCTTGGACTACATAATGAATTCCAGGCTAGCCTGGGCTATACAAGATCCTGTCTCCATAAACAAATAAACAGAGTGCAAGCCTTCAAGTACTTCGAATACTTCTTCCAAAAAGAGCAAGCTGTCTTTGATACCCTCTGGGCATTTTGGGAGAGTGTATATATGCCCAGGAGGGTGGGTGTCCAAAAGCCATAGAAGGGTTTCCTTCCCATGTTGAGAAACAAAAGTCCACTGCCACCCTAGGTCCCAGAGGAGTGCTCTAGTGGCATGGTTCACACTGTCCTGGGTGTGGCCCTGGGGTCTTCTGGCTGCAAAAAAGGTGGCTGACGGGGAGAAGAGAGCAGTAGCAGGCATTCATTTCTGGTTTTGCCCAGGGCTAAAAGGCAGTTCACCCTGCTCCCCAGCCTCTCACTGATATCTCCCCACAGGCCTGCCTCCCAGCACACAGACCCTGAAGCACCTGTTGTGGCAGGGTGGTTCCAGTACACTGTGGCGGTCCTTCCCATGCAATGTCAGTACAACCATCTTCAATGGCCTCTTTAGCCCAGTGTCTCCAAGTACCAACTTAGGGGAGAAAAGGCCATTGCATAGACTGCTCCTTGGCCCACCCTGCAGGCCTCAGGACCCAGACTTCCCAGGCCTAAAGCCCTGCTTGTCTAAGCCAACCCACAGAATAAAGGACTACATTTTCTGCCTCTTATGACCTCTGGAAATGAACCCGGAAGTAGAGGGGACCACTAGCCTGGAGAAATCACTTGAGGCCTCACACATCTCTTCCAGGGGGAATTAGAAGGAGGCCAGCCCCAGATAATCAGATGTGCCACAATTACAAGCATTACCTCAGCCTTTCCATGAGCAAAAGGTCTTGCTGCTTCAGGAGGCTGGGCTCCTGGTGTCCTTCAGTACCAGGCAGCGAAGGTCACTTCTAGTCACAAACCAGGCAGAACTGGAATCCATTGGCATCTCCTCAGAGAGAATACTGACTCTAAGGTAAAGTCATGGAAAGGACAAAAATGACCTTTGCCCCATGGTACTCTCCAGTCCCTCCTAGCTCCTGATGGATCAAGTAGGTTTTGCGGGGCAAGAGAACAAACAAACAAACCCCACAATTTGGCTAGAGAGATGTTAAGGGCTGTCCTTCCAGAGGTCACCTCTCAACACCCATATGGCTGTTCACAGCTGCCTATAATCCCAGTTCCAGGGTGTCTGACACACTTTTAGATCTCCACAGGCATCTACACACACACACACACACACACACACACACACACACACACTACACACACATACACACACATACCACACACATACACATGTGCACACATACATAACATACATACACACACTATATACACACATATACCACACAAACACACATACAGCAACACACACACACACACACCCCCCACACACATACACACACGCAGTGTTCTCTCACCCTCCTAACTTTTTAAAAAGTGATTTATTTGAAAGGGTAACCCTGGTTTACAGTACTGACGAACCCTCCTTAGTGTAAATACTCCAGAGTTCACAACATTTGAGCAACTGACGGCTTGAAATCTTACTAAAGTTTCTCATAAACCAAGAAGGGAAAACTCCAGCACAGCATTCCCAGTCCCTCAAAATCCCCGCTTGAGAGTCACTTTCAGTTCCGCAGTCAGCTGTGGCCTCTGCCTGGATCACTCTGACTCAGTGATCACAGTGGTGAATGCAGGGGGTGATTTTTTTTTTCTGTCTGCCAAAGTGGAGATGAATATTAACTCTCTTCTCAGTGTCTCCTCTCCCAGGCCTGGGGAGATTGGGGGATTCCCCATCTCCTAAACCCTTGAGGCCTCACAGGGCTATCTGAGGGCACTCTCTCATTGCGCCTTCCCTCAGGAGGTGGTGCTTTTTGAGGGTGTCTTCCCATGCTTCCTCTTTAGGAGGCTGTAATCAGTAGCTGCAGACACTAGGACTCTCTCCAGCCCAGCTGGAGAAGTTTTAAATGACAGGTTGAGAACCACACAGATTCTGGGCCCTGACTTTAGTCTGACTGAGTGCTAAAACGGGCCATTTTCTTTCTTCTTCTTTTCCTTTCAGCAGGGTCTCGTGTAGCCCAGGTTAGCCTCAAATTCTTTATAGAGCCTTGAACCTCAAAATCTCTTTCTCCCACTTCCCACGTTTTGCTGGGATTACAGGTTACATCACCACGCCTTTTTTATGTGAGAATCCTGTGTTTGCTAGGCAAGTATTCTGTACCTGAGTTACATCTCTAGCCCCTAAAGTGGGCTTTTTCTTTTAAAAACTGGCTTCAGGAATATTCTGTTTCTAAAACCTAAAGCATCAGATCTCAACCGATGGGTCACAACTGCTTTGAGGTCAAACGACCCTTTCACAGGGGGTTGCCTAAGACCATGGGAAAATACAGATATTTACACTGCAATTCGTAACAGTAACAAAATTACAGTTATGAAGTAGCAAGGAAAATGGTCTTCTGGTTGAGGTCAGCAGCATGAGGAGCTACAGTGAAGGGTGGCACCCTCAGGAAGGCTGAGAACACTGACCTAATGGCTCAACAGCTCATTCTGATTATTGCCTGATTTTTAGGGAGGTTTGTGAGCAAAGCAGGGTGGGGTCAGTTGTTCTCATTAAGCTGAGTGTGACCCAATTTATCCACAGTGTTGACAGCTCTTTGATTTTTCCTTTCCCTTTGGGGCCTGAGGAGGATCTGGGGCCCAGAGGAGGATGGGAGCCCACTCTTCCTCCCCCCACAGGTCAGTGGGCTGTTCTTCAAGATCCCAAACCACATGGCATCTTCTGTTTTGCCACCTTCCTGGGCATGCCCCTGGCTGGAGTTGGTTTCATGAAGTGAATGGTACCACGGGGACACAGGAGTCCTCTTCGGGGACCTGTCTGACAGCTCAGTCCATACTGTTCCCAGGGCTGTTCTGGATGCCCTGGTCCTGGCAGGTATGTACCTGGGAGAAGCCAGCCTTGTCCTGTCAGTGCTGGGGAAGTTAGCTCCAGAAGAGCCTCATTGGCAATGTCCTTGAAACTGTCATCTTAACAGTAACCTAGCCCCTTGAGGTCAGTCACTTAACAGGTATTTATTGAGGACCTACTAGGTGCTACCAAGGGAAATAAACCCTCATGGGCCTTGCAGTTGGGTTTTCAGGTAAGGGGTCCTTATGCAATGAGCAGGGGCACAATGCAAACTTTCTCGATGAGAGACAGGGAGAGAGAGGCCTTAGAGCAATAGAGAAAAACACCTGACATCAACCTCTAGCCTACACATACACACATGTACACACACACACACACACACACACACACACACACACGTATATACACACACATACATACATATATACACATACATACACACATGTACAGACATACACACAACACACACACATACATGTACACACTGCACACACGCACAATACATATATATGCACACATACACACATACACATAGATACACACATATGCACAGACACACACACATATATGCATGTATACACAGACACACATGTATACAAACATGGACATATACATACACACATGCACATGTACACACAGAAACACACACAGACACACATGTACACACACACACACACATACACACACCACTCTTCCCCTGTCCTTTGTTTGTCTACCATCAGAGCTTCTGCCCAGGAATGATCTCACAGCCCAAAACATCCTCAGAGCTCCCACAGTGGTTCCCCTGAGGAAAGTCCCTGTCATGAAGAACTAAACTCAAGGTAGATGAGGAGGCTCTACCTCCTTCTCTAGAAACAGGTTAGTCTGAAATCCTGGTAATTAGAGTATGGTCTTATTTGGAGACAGGGTCTTTAGAGAAGTAATCAAGTTAGAATGTGTCATTATAATCAGTGATGAATTAATATGACTCATACCCGTATTTAAAAAAAGGGAAACACATGGGGACAACACCCATCTGTGATAATGGAGGCAAAGGTCAAGTGATGTGTCCACAAGCCCAGAAATGCTAAAGACAGCAAGCAGCTACTGGCAGTGAAGCGGGGACAGCAGGAAGCCAATGACCCTATGCATCCACAGAAAGGACCAGTCCTGACTGACCTTGACCTTTGCCTTCTGCCTCTGGAAGTCTGAGGTGTGTCTCTTGCACCACACATCTTGAAATGCCCCAAATAGAGCCAACTGTTACACAGTCTCTCCAAGGGACACAGGAAGGGTCTCCAGATGTTTCCTCCATTCACTCCTGGGTCTGGATGAATGCCAAGTGGCTCCCATCTTCCCCTGGGTGACTGAGAGTCAAAGAGGGCGTGGTCTACTTCAAGGCCTCTCAGGGAGGTGTCTCAGTAAAAGTTGAGTGTCTCGTTGTGGAAGGCTGTCAGACTCCAGTTTTGCAGCATGGAACTGAGAGCTCTCTAAAGATGACAAGATGCCTGTGTTTGGTCTTTATCGCCATTAGGTTGCTAAGAGTTTCCAAGTCCATGCTCCCCCACTCAGGCTGAACCTCCTGGCTACCGTGGCTTGGGGCTGAGACATGCCGGGCCACAACAGGAACCAACCCCTAACCTCTTCCCAGCCCATTCCTGGACATCCATCCAGAGTAGGCCAGGAGTCTTCTCTGTTAGTCCTCTCCTCAGAAAACCATGAATCCTTTGTCCATATGCAGAAAGACCAAATCTTTTTCCAGTGGCCTTTTCTGCCCATTCCTGAAAGTCAAATAAAACAAGGATCTTTCTCCAGAAGCAGGTGATGTTGATCAGCAAGGTCCATCTGTGACTGATCAATTTACATGTTTTATCTTTGTTTCTTTTTCCTGGAAGAAACTGGTGTCTAGCTGGATAGGCAGAAAGGACTGATGATAGCCTTTCTCTGTGAAATGGTTCTTCTGTGTGCACAAAAAACATACATGAACATTCTTTGGGGCTGAGGATGTAGCTCAGGTTGGTAGCGTGCTTGCCTGGCATGCAGAAGACTCTAGGTTCAATGACCAGGACAGTATGAATAAATTAGACACGGTGACTCACACTTGTAACCCCGGCAATCAGGAGGGAAAAGCAGGAAGAATGGAAGTTCAATATCGACCTAGCTATATATGCATTCAAGACTAGCCTGGGCTACATGAGACCCTGTTTGTTTGTTTGTTTGTTTGTTTGTTTGGATGTCATATCTCTTGCCTGTGTCCCCTCCAACCCAAATGACTTTGCTAACCTCTTGAGGAATTGGAAGGCAGGCAGTGGAGGGAGGCAGAAGGACCTCAAAGAACAAAAGCAGGCCACTGGACCAAGCCAGTCACCAGCCTGTTACCAAGTGCCAGTCTCATGTCCCATTCTAAGACATAGCTGCCTTGAGGCAAGGTTGTGGGGCCAGAAGTGACGACTGTGGCTCCAGGCCTCTGACACTTCTTTTTCTACTGGTGGTGCTTCCTTTCTTACCATTCTTCACTTGCCTTATCCAGCGGCTAAGCCATCTTTAAGAGGCTGACCTGGAGGCTCAGGAATTTGTTCCAAGGAACCCAACTACAAGGGTTGGTGTCTACAGAAATTCTTGAAGTCCTGTGATCCTCCCATGGTGATCAAAGCCCAGAAGCATGGGCTAAGTGGGCATAGAGACTGTTTCCTGGGAAAGGAAGTTGTGGCTTCATTTTTATTTGTCCCAAAACAATGCTTTTAGTTGATTCTCTAGTCTTGGCTACAAGGAGGATGGTGAGCCAAATGGATTTGACATTGGTGGTCAGCCACAGGAGGCTTGCTGACTGAGGCCTCCACTCTGCCTGGGGTATAAAGGATATACTCACAAACCTTGCTGTCTAGGAGATGAGGGTCTAAACTGGAGGCCAGTCTAATTTTGTCAGGAGCAAGAGAAACAGATGTTTCTCTAAACCTGTGTTAAGGCTTCACTCAGAGGGAGGGAGAGAGAGAGAGAGAGAGAGAGAGAGAGAGAGAGAGAGAGAGAGAGAGAGAGAGAGAGAGAGAGAGCGGGAGGGAGGGAGGGAGGGAGGGAGAATGGTACAGTGTATTTAGTAAAAGTTTGGCTACTGTCCTGGGAAGCTTTCCTGAAACAAGACCAGGACTGATTTCAATTAATATTGAGAGGAAAGTGTGGCCCTGGCACTGAGAACGACACACACTAGTTTTGAGGAAGCTACAGAGCAAGCACAGTATTTGTATTTTCTCTTACTTGGAAAGGCCACCAAGAAACTGGCCACCCCCTGACATTCCTGGACCAGTCCTCTGAGAGCCTGAGGTTCTGAAAGAGTACATCTGGCTGTTCCCATGGCAAGACTGTCATGCAGTCACTGCATGCATTGGTGTCTGGGGGAGGCCCTCATGCAGTTGCTGCATGCATTGGTGTCTTGTGCCCCTTGAGCAGCACAATGGCACCCATTGTTCCTGTTGGCTTCTGGCTCTAATATCTTCATTTTCTTCTACATCTTTGCTTCCTTTAGGACATGCACACACTCATGAACAGCTGGAGGGATGAGGTGGTTGGCTCACAGACAACAGACTCTGACAGAGCCTCCCATCCTCCCCAGATGCACCAAATTAACTTGGCATGGTTTTGCAGACGACAAAGTCACGCATTGCAGAGAGATGCTTCCCCACTCTCGCCTCTTGTTCCTGAGCTCACAGACCAGGCAGCCCCACCTTCCTGGTTTGTTCATTCCGTGTTCTTCTAAGAGGAAGGAAACAGCTGTATTCTTGTCGGATCTTTACAAGAAGCTCCCTAGGTTCTGAATCTACACTTCAAAGGGCAATCACTAACCTAGTTCAGCTGTACTTTAAGAAACAAATGCTAGGTGCTCAGGTTGTATTTCTAGCTATAGGTTTTATCCTTTCTAGCTATATACTTCTAGCTCGGGTTAGACTTCTAGCTGTGTAGAGCAAGGTGGAGCTCACATGTACAGAGTATCATGGAGGACATCTCTCATGGAGCCTGCGATTCTGGACCCACCAATGAGTAAGTCTATCAGAAAAACCAAGTGGGACTGTACTCTGCTGAATGCACACCCTCCTGGGATGCTATTTTGCTCCTTTGCTAATTTGCTCATTTCAAAGACCTTCCTGTCTTGAAAAAGGTTTGCACAGTAGACAGGGGTGCAGCCCACAGAAGCGTATGTGAGTGAGGAATCAGTACTGAGTGCTGGCTCTGCCCTTATTCTGAAAATCATCACCAGGAGTTGCCATCCCAACTGGAAAGCCAGAGTCCTGAGGGCTCATTCTGTTTTCTGAGGTTCAGGAAGAACCCGAGGAATCTCATTTCCGCCGCACTGTGAAGTCCATACATTGCACAGTTTACCTAGTTAACATTGGCGCTGAATGTGTTCTCACAATTGTGTTCAGGAGCAAGTGCATGTTCACAGCCCACAGCAGCTCTTCCCACGCCTGGAAAGGTCCCTGAGTCCTGTGCCTCTCCCCCCAGGCCTCAAGAGCAACTTCCTTCATGCTGTTTGCCACAGTTTCATCCCCTGGAGCAGGGCAGAGCAAGACCTTCTTGGAGGCCTCTGAGGAAAGTACATATTTGCCAAGAAAAGAATTGTTTGTTTGTCTTGATCGTCATATAGTGAGCTACTTTTAAACTCAGCAGTTTCAAACAATGAACAGCATCTCACAGTTCCACAAGCTAGAAACCAGGAGTGACTTCTCTGGTGGCTGTGGCCTGCGGTCTCAGCTAAATTGTTTACAGGACTGAAGTGATCTCAAGAGTGCTGGGGATGATGTGCCTGCAAACTCAGGCATGTGGTAGGTAGCTTCGGGGCTTCTTTCCTTCCTGGCTGTGGCTCAGAGACACCAGTTCTTCACAACACAGCCTCTCGCTCCCTGGCTGGTCATCTTCAGGATGTGATGACTAGGTTCTCCCAGGGTGAGTGAGTCAAGAGAAACACAGAGCCCAAGACAGCGGCTACATGCAGTCTTCTCTGCCCTCAATTCCAAAGTGACATCTCATCAGAAATCTGCCCTATGTTGTGTAGCACAGAAGCCTGCAGAATGTGTCCAGCCTTGAATTGCTTCATTTTGTAAATCCACAGTCATTTCAAGTATAGGAACTGAAGGAGAATGAGTCTGCTTCTTATTTATGCACGTAAACAAACCACCATCTGCCAACATACCCAGCAAGCACAAACCAATACATAATTCATCTGTGCTGATAAATAATTACACTTGTAACTATATCAATCATGTCAGAAACCCCAGATGTATGCATTTATCTATCACACCAGGGTCTGGGGATCTCATCATACCCTTTCACATGGTGCTCAGGATTTGAACTCAAGTCCTCATGCTTGCATCTGGAATGTTCTAACCCATTGAGCCACCATCCTAGCCCCACAGAGTATGTTATTTATAAAGAAGAAAAATGTTTTTCACAATTCTGAAGGCTGTAAATTTCAAGAGAATGATGCCAAGATTTGGTGAAGGGCTTCCATAACAAGATGGGGGACAAGCATGCAAACGCAATTTCCCCTTCTTCTGATAAAGCCACTGACCCATCTTGGAGACCCCCTGCCCCCATGAACTCATCTAATCCTAATACCTCCCAAAGGTCCCACCTCCTAATACTATCAACATATGAATTATGGGATTAGATTCCTAACCCAAAAATCTGGGGAGACTTTATTGAGGCCCCAAGAGTAATCCTGCCTGTGGAAGCTGCTTGCTGAGAGACAGAGCTAAATGTCACATGATCAGTTTGCATTCTTTTCTGTGTGTTCAGCACCAAGAAATACCAGCTCTCCTCAGAGCCAGATATTCTGTTGGAGAGTGCTTTCTGCAGTAATAAGTTCCTCTACTCCTAACTCAAGCAGTCCCTCTCAGTTCTGAGTCCTCGTGACTCTGGGTCATCTCTTGGCACAATTCATTAGTGATGTCCAAGTTATCCCCAGAGTATCTGTTCACAAACACTGGTATTCCATCTTCCAGGTTTGAGCTGCTCCTTCAGGGAAGCTTCCAGTTTCATGGTTCTCCTTATAAAACATGAATTGCTTCCAGAAGCCCCCAGGGCCAGGGCCAGGGCCAAAGTGTCTGAGTCTCCCTCTAACACAATGCTGAATGCCCCACAGAGCTGGAGTGAGGCAGCAGGAGGGAGAAGCAGCTGGGCTCTGACCGAGCCAAAGAGACACAATGCTAAATCCCAGGAAAAGTTAAAAGCAGCCTATTTGGAAAGACAGAGGATTATCTAAAGCCAGCTACAATCGGTGGCTGTGCTCTGCCACACTGGGAACAAGTAAGAGTTTTTAGACACGCTGACTCTGTAACTATCTGCTGTCATTTGCACTGACTTGAAATAAAACTAAGTTGGGTTTTTGGTGCTAGGAATCTGTGGGGTCTGCTTCCTAGACCCTAGCTAATCAACTGTAGTCACAACCACTTTCCAACACTGATTGTCTAGAACTCCTAGTTCCCCAGAACAGGACTTCTCATCTGGCCATGCCCCATCAAGATTTAGTCCTCCCCTTCCCTCCTCCCTCCTTCAGTTCTCTTTGCTTCCCTTGCCTTATTTGTTCTCAAAGGAACCTTATATGATTCCAGTTTGTGGAGGTCACTATATTCTAACAACCAAGAGTACGAGAGACAAATGGGACCTTCGATGTTGTCTAGTTCAATTTCTCCCCAAATTCAGAAATCTCCAAAGGCTGTTTCCCCAACTGGCACTTTTATGATGACTCAAAGCCTGGCATTCAGTGTTCAATGCCCTTTGGAAGATTCTACAGTTCTAGGCTCCACCCCCACACTGACTGAAATCACCCTCTCCAAAACTTAGGGTGACTTATTTTGTCTTCTGGGCCAAACTAGATGACAATTTCTCCTCTGTAGTGGCCTTTTGGATATTTGAAGAAAATTGCTGGTTAGGTCGAGTGATGCTGCCACCAGTGAACACAATTTGACTGAATCCCAGAGCTGCCACCATTGGTAGTGTGTGATTTTGAGTAAGCCCCATCATTTCATCTGTAATGCTCTACAGTGCCATGCCAACCACAGTGGACTGCCTCGTATCTCCACACTCAATGACCTCATTTGGCTCACTTAAAGTTGGTAATCTGCAGGGCTAGAAAGATGGCTCAGCAGTTAAGAGCACTGGCTACTCCTACAGAAGATGCGGGTTCAAGTCTCAGTATCCACATGGTGGCCAACAACCATCTCTAACTCCAGTTCTAGAGGCTCTGACACTGTCTTATAGCCTCTGTGAGCACTGGCCCACTTGTGGTGCAGTCATATGTGCAGGCAAAACACCTATACACATAAGATAAAAACATCACACACACACACATACACACACACACACACACACACACACACTAATTTGGCAATTTAGGAGGCTTTAGAGATGGCTCAGCAATCAAGAATACATGTTGCTCTTACAGAAGACTGGGGTTCAGTACCCAGCACCCATATGGCAGCTTACAACTGTCTGTAATTCCAACTAAAGGGAACTTGATACTGTCCTCTGGCCTGTCTGGGTGCCAGGCACTTATGGTGCATATACATATATATTCACACAGAGAAGATAAAAATTAAATAAATACTTGTTTAAAATTGACACTATGGCAGTATTTGTGCCATGAGTGCTGGTAAATGCTACAAATTAACAGGCTTCTCTGGTTTGGGTTTTCTAGCATTGCTGTGTTTTGGTTTCATTGTCAAGATCTATTAAGACAGTGCTAATAATTGTTCTTTGTGAATTCTAAATATTAGCAATTTTGATAGATTGTCATAGATTAGCTCCCAAGCAGTCACATTCCTGAATTTATGTGTGATCACTTTCTCCTGGGCTGGTTCCAGGACTCATTTGGTGAAGTAGAAAGTGGCAGGATTTCTGGGTACAGGCACAAAGAGAGCTGTCTAGAGCAGTCTCCCCTCACTGATCTGATGCTCATTCCAGTGAACAAGAAGCCACATAGAGGAGGAT